GCTAAAATTTGTCAAAACAGGATAAATTTTATACTACTTTTTCCTTAGACACATCTTTTATGTATTAATAAAAAAAAGTTTTTGGCATGGTTGACAGCGTAAATCGAATTCGATAATAATAATTTGTCTCCAGTCAAAGCTACCGCTTCGTTTATGTTCACATAAAAAGAATGTTTGAAAATGATACTAAGAGCAAAGGAATTCGGTTGCACCTTCCTCTCAGACGCATCTTTGCGTCTTCACAAGTTTGACAGAAATTGTGCTTGTAATTTTCAAAATCAAGTATACTTAATTGTCCGATCGCAGAGTTACGTGAATAGAGCGGACATTCTGTCACCTTCCCCTAAACGCATCGTTCTACTCGCGCACGTTCAAAAGGAATGTTTATAAATTTCACTATGGCAGAAATCTGTGAGCATCGCTGTGTGAGTCTTTTCATGTGTCCAGAGCGAAGATATTTCTGGACGCCAATTTTGGACGCATTTTTTCATTTAATTACTGTAAAACAAATGTTTAATATAATTACCAAATGTGACAAATTAGGTAGGCTTAGGCTGGCGCATCGTTTTACCTACTTGCGTTTGATGGGAATACTAAAATGATTACTGAAATGAGACCAAATTGGTGGTCTTTCTCTCTTAGGCGCACTGCTTCTTCCCTACATAGGGGGAGGGGATAAAATTTGGTGGCACTTCGTTTTGTGGCCCATTTTCCATTAGTGGTGCTTTTTTTTTCTCAGGCTTTTTGTTTTCTTTGTACAGGTTAAAAAATGCTTATTCGAGACAATTATCAAAATGGAACAAATTTGATGGAGCAGATTGGATGATATCTCTCTCGCTGTCACCCAAATGCACTGTTTTGTCAAAGAAATGTTCGTAACTGATATAAAAGCGAGGCAGATTGAACAATTTCTCCGGCTTCCGCTCAGACGCATCCTCTCATACGATAAATATGTGCAAAAAACTTTTTTACAGTCGGAAATCAAAAAAGCCCTCCATGTTCGCTCTCACGAAGAGGCGAAAGTACTCTAGAAGTAGCTCAGGTGATAGCGAACGCCAAAAGCAATCACTCGTTGGTAATTCTTTTGATGGCTCCCCCTGGGTTGCTTACAAGCAGTCTGATGATAAGTTGACTATTGGCATATGCCAGTAACAATTTGCCACCGAAACAAATGAACAAATCGTAGAGGGGTTGGTTGTCCTGCCTGCAGAGTTGAACCTTCAACTTACTGCACGACAATAGTGCTACTCCAATGCGTCTTTTTTGCCAGCTTTTTTTAATAGATGATTATTAAAATGAAGTACCTCGCACGTGTTATCACTGAGAACTCCTCACTGAGACATTGCAACTCCGGGAATACTCTATGAGTTGTTCGGTCAATTCCCTTAATTTCTGTTTGCCTGTTAACACTGAACACTGTCGTCAGTTTCAAGTTCTTAACGTGTTTAACACACATATCCTACTTAGCACAGATAACAAATTCTTGTGTACCCAGGTTCGAAAATCATTTAGTGCGAGAGTATCCAGGGATACTTTTTATCACTAATCATTAAAAACGTTCTTTTTTTGTGATTTTTATGAAAAATTTGAGATGTCCATCATTCAAAAGGAAAACGATTTGCTGCGCTGACAGTGACATCACATTTCCTAGACACTTTC